TGAAGGCCTTCCACCTACCGGGTGCCCGGAATGAGAGGGCAGGGACTTGAGCAGGGACTTTTCCTCGCAACACAAGTGGTCCCTCCACCCAGAAGTGGCCCACCAGCTCTTCTGAAGGCGGGGAACTCCCCAGGTGGACCTGTTCGCAACTTGGCAGCACTGGCGATGCCCCTGGTTCTCCTGGGGGGCCTGGGGAGGTGCACTATCTCCGATGCCTTTCTCCTGTCCTGGTCAGGTTGGCTTCTCTACACCTTTCCCCTGTTCCCTCCAATCAGCAGGGTCCTGGAGAAGATAAAGACGGACAAGGCCCAAGTCCTCCTGATTGCCCCAGTGTGGCCCAGGCAGCATTGGTACGGGACCCGCACAGGCCTGGCGGTAGCTCTGCCATGGCCGTTGCTGCTCCGCCCGGACCTGCTCTCTCAGGACCTGGGCTGCCTCCTCCATCCCAGCCTGGCGGCTCTTTACCTCGCGGCGTGGCTGCTCATTGGTTAGGTGGAAAGGAAAGGATGTGCTCAGAGCAGGTTCAGCGCGTCGTCCTCGAAAGTAGACAGCCCTCCACTTGCCCCGCTTATTTGGTGAAGTGGTCCCAGTTTTCAAGGTAGGCGGCGGACCAGGATGTCTCCCCGGTGCTTGCCCCAATCCAGTTTATCCTTGATTACCTCCTCCACCTGAGGGCCCAGGGTCTGGCGCCCTCGTCAGTCAAGGTGCACCTGGCAGCCATATTGGTCTTCCATCCGCGAGTGCAAGGGCATATGGTATTTTCCCATGCAATGACTGGCCGGTTCCTTAAGGGTTTGGACTATCTTTTTCCATATTCTAGACCCTCGGTCCCACAGTGGGACCTGAACCTGGTGTTGGCTGGTCTCACAGAGCCCCCTTTTTAACTACTGGCCACATGCTCCTGGTCTCACCTCTCATGGAAGGTGGCCTTCCTGGTTGCAATCACATTGGCCAGGCAAGTCTCAGAGCTCCGAGCCGCCGTACACGGTCTTTCGTAAAGACAAGGTCCAGCTCCACCCACACCCCGCATTCCTCCCGTAGGTGGTCTCTATCTACCACATGGGTCAGGACATTTTTCTACCAGTTCTCTGTTCCAAACCTTACATGTCTAGTGAGGAGCGCCGTCTCCACACACTCGATTTGTGGCGGGCTCTGGCTTTCCACCTCGAGCGGACCAAGTCATTCAGAAAGTCCTCGCAGCTATTCGTCGCCTCTGCTGAGCGTGCGAAGGGCCGGCCAATTTCCACTGAGCGGCTTTGCAATCGGATCACTTCATGCATCCGTTCCTGTTACGAGCTGGCGGGTGTGTCCCCCGCCACCTATTGTGAGGGCACACCAGACTTGGGCGCAGGCCTCGTTGGCTGCCTTTGTGGCCCACGTCCCTATCCAGGACATTTGTAGGGCCGCCACGAAGTCTTCGGTTCACATCTTCACCTTGCACTATGCGATCGACCCCCAAACCAGGGATGACGCCCGGTTTGGCAGGGCTGCCCTCCATCCTGGGAACTTGTGAACTCCTACCCACTTCCAACAGATATAGCTTGGAATCAGCTATTGTGGAATACACATGAGCAATCATTCAAAGAAAAGACAGTTACCTTTTCCGTAACTGATGATCTTCGAGATGTGTTGCTCATGTCTTTTCCACATCCCACCCTCCTTCCCCTCTGTCGGAGTTGTCTGGCAAGAAGGAACTGAGGGTGGGGGAGCGCGCAGCTCCCCTTATAACGCGCCAGGCAGGTGCCACTCCAGGAGTCAGGGGGCGGGACTCTCCCCCCTATGGGTACTGCTAGGGGAAAAACTTCCGGCACCAGTGCACATGGCGAGCATGCACAGCTACTGTGGAATAGACATGAGCAACACACTTGAAGAACACCAGTTACAGAAAAGGTAACCATCTTACATTATAGGCCTGACTTGACATGATTAATGAGGCCTCACCCATGTCCAATTTCTTGGGAGACTGGATTAGGGAAGTGAATGAATCAGCAAGCTAAGAACGGAATGTCTGTACTAGCTAAAATAAGGGGAAATACCCAGGAAACCATTTACAATGGACCATAAAACAGTAAATAAGATAGTCCTGGAACGTAAGATAAGGTCAGGGATAAGTTGTTCATAGACCGTGCATGCTGCATAGGGATTGTATAGTAAATGCATTGTAATGTTTTAATGTATATAAAGGCAGAGATTTGCTGTGTAATTTTGGATGTTAATATGCCCTATGCCCACCCTCTACCCTTAAGTCTGATCAACTCAGTGTAGCTTTGCTGTATTCCGAATAAAGGAGCCTGAGTGATGAGACTAGAGTCAAACTAAGTTCATAGAGAACCAAGTGGGGTTCCCTTGAGACTTCTTCCGACATGTTTTAGTACAATTAGCTTAAGATGGTCTTTTGTAGTTTCTGCTGTTCCATACCATCTGGCGTCCCACGGAGGGTTAGGGAGTGGATGTTTGTGGAAAAGAGCTGCATGGGCTCATGTGACTCTAGTCTCTACTGGCCCCCGCAGAAATATGGGGTGAGTGGACACCACTGTCTCCACTGGCTCCCTTGGAGTAAGGGCAGAGGCCTGCAATACCTCTGCTGCCACAATTTTTGTTGGCTTCTGCTGTCCTTTCCACCCACCTCTATGTATATGAGAGGAGGGGGAAGACTGCTCCTTCCTCTGGAATTTATGTTGTTCTTTCCTAGACTTCTATGATAGCTCATTTTAAATTGATTTGCAATTGTGATAGTTTTACCATAGTTATAAGGATTATACCATTAATTGCTTGTATAGATTCCCTTTGCAATGTACATTGTAGCTTTGTACTCCATTTAGTGTATTGCAGTTCCAAAAATAAGCAAAAATCCCCACTTAAAATACCTGGGTTTTTTCTAAATTGCTTCCCTAATTTTGCATAGGAGAAAAGCATTGTCTAGTGGACTGTGCGCGGAGTCAAACCTCCTAATTCTTAGCCCAGTGACTTACCGCGGGCACATCACTTAACCACTTTGTCTTAACCACTCTGTCCTAGTTTTCCCATCTGTGTAGTATTTGAAAAGTCATGTAAAACCGAATCATAGATTCTAGGGGTGAAAATACCTGTTAGATCATCCTGTCTGTCTACCTGCCAATGCAAGATTGTTTCCTATTGTACATTTACTAGTGTGTTTTCAATTTGGTTTTAAATGTGTCGACTTGTGATTGAGCTTCTTCCAGGGCCTCTGGGCAATGATTTTAGAAGTTAATAGATCTCACTGTCGAGGTTTTTCCTAACTTTCATATCAAATGTATTTTCCCTTTCTTAATTTCATCCCATTACTCTTGGTTATACTTTACTATGCTGCAGCTTACACTCATTAATTATTGAAAAGCACACGTTTTACACAACACTTAATGACATAGATAAAACACATTCTATGCTTAGAAGAGCTAACAAGCTAAATAAGATGGACACAGGACAACATTGTGAGAGAAGAAAATGTGTGTGGATTATTAATGATAAAGGAGGAACTGCCTAGAAAGGTGAGTTTAAGGAGGGATTTCAGGAAGTAGCATGAGAATGGCTAGCAGATGAGGACAGGCAGACTAATTGTGGGGAGCAGCATGATAAAATGTACATAACTGAAAGTAGGGAAAAGTGACTAAGAGTGTAAAGCAGAAGGACTGGAATGCTCATTGGAAGGTAAGCAGGGGGAAATGAGGACCCTCTCTCCTTAATGTTCACATTTTTCAGCTATTTATAGACTAGGTGTGCATATATAGCACTTAATCTTTGCGTGTAAATCAACTGGTCTAGACCACTAATTACTCTGGTTGTTGTGAACTCATTCCCTAGAATTTTTCTTCTGAGGTATCCATATTTGAACACAGTGTTACAGCACAGAAACAAGGGTCTATCTCCCTGCTCTGCATCACAATGCCTGCATATACAGCCCAAAGTTGCATTGATCTCGTTGCTGCCATATCACACTGCAAACACAGGACTAATTTACTCTTCTTTGTCATGTTTAAGTTGCTTCCCAGCTTTCTGCCTATTTGAATATCTATTTTATGAATTATTTTCCTCAAACATTAGCATCACCAGTAACAAAGCAGGGCCTGGTGATAGGTAGCCCAGAGCCTAACTGGCAATTTCTTCCTTTACTGGTTTTATGAATGATTTGCATTATAATTTTTAAAACTATAGATATGTAGGAAGTCACTTGGTCCTCATGTAATCTAGTAATATAAACTGTTTTAAAATGGACATATGGCAAACAATCTATACTATAATTTATTTTCTTCAATACCCATAAAAAAAAACAAAAAAACAAGCCAATATAAACTCTAAAATAGGTATTGAATATGTACAGTTGCTAAGATTAATAAGGATTTTAATATTCTTTTTAATACATGCATCCGTCCTAATTGTGGTCACAGTTAGTTTAAAATATACTTCTCCAAAGATGCCTGCTGTGTAGGGTTCTCCCTTCTGGCTTAAGAATCCTTCATAGATGATAGCTTCAGAGAAGTGGAATTACAGGTAAGTAATTTTTCCCTTTCAACCTCAATTACAGGGCTGAAATCAAATCTATATATTTACGCAGGAAAGAATTCAGAGTTTCTGGTAAATGGGCATTTCTAAACCTCCCATAGTCTATTTTAAGTGACAAATTCAGGCAATTGTGTTTCTAAAAATAAGATCTGATCCTGCAGACTGTACTCACTCAAAACTCCCACTGACTTTAGTATAACCAGGTACTTTTGTGATGGTTATGAGATAAATAGATTAGGAAAAATCTGGTTTTAAATACGTACGGCAACATTTTGCAAGTAAATTCAGTAAAATTTTACCTGTAAGTGTTCATAAATATTGGTGTCTGTGCCATCTTTGAAGAACTGATCCTATTCTCCTTTAAATTAGTAGGAGTAATCCAAGTTTACTAAACCTTTCCAAGATTTACCTTCATAAACATTATTATAAAGTACTGTTATTACACATGTCTAAGAAAAGTAAACATTTTTCTTCCACAGGAAATAAATCCGGATCAAGTAACCAAACTTGCTCTTGGAGGAGAGATTAATTTTGAGCAAGTCTGCAAAAAGGTATGACTTTTTTATCTTATAATCATTAGGACATGTGCAAGTGTGGGTATGTGTATGCATTTGCAAATACCAATCCACTAGGACGTGTGTGTGTATGTATGTAGAATTATGTGTGTATGAAGAATTAGTAGAGGAAGCAAAAGTGGATGGGAATCTGGGAGGCAGTGACCATGAGTTGGTTGAGTTCAGGATCCTGACACAGGGAAGAAAGGTAAGCAGCAGGATACGGACCCTGGACTTCAGGAAAGCAGACTTCGACTCCCTCAGGGAACAGATGGGTAGGATCCCCTGGGGGACTAACATGAAGGGGAAAGGAGTCCAGGAGAGCTGGCTGTATTTCAAGGAATCCCTGTTGAGGTTACAGGGACAAACCATCCCGATGTGTCGAAAGAATAGTAAATATGGCAGGCGACCAGCTTGGCTTAACAGTGAAATTCTAGCAGATCTTAAGCATAAAAAAGAAGCTTACAAGAAGTGGAAGGTTGGACATATGACCAGCGAAGAGTATAAAAATATTGCTCGGGCATGTAGGAATGAAATTAGGAGGGCCAAATCGCACCTGGAGCTGCAGCTAGCGAGAGATGTTAAGAGTAACAAGAAGGGTTTCTTCAGGTATATTGGCAACAAGAAGAAAGCCAAGGAAAGTGTGGGCCCCTTAATGAATGAGGGAGGCAACCTAGTGACAGGATTTGGAAAAAGCTAATGTACTCAATGCTTTTTTTGCCTCTGTCTTCACGAACAAGGTCAGCTCCCAGACTGCTGTGCTGGGCATCACAACATGGGGAATAGATGGCCAGCCCTCTGTGGAGAAAGAGGTGGTTAGGGACTATTTAGAAAAGCTGGATGTGCACAAGTCCATGGGGCCGGACGAGTTGCATCCGAGAGTGCTGAAGGAATTGGCGGCTGTGATTGCAGAGCCATTGGCCATTATCTTTGAAAACTCGTGGCGAACGGGGGAAGTCCTGGATGACTGGAAAAAGGCTAATGTAGTGCCAATCTTTAAAAAAGGGAAGGAGGAGGATCCTGGGAACTACAGGCCAGTGAGCCTCACTTCAGTCCCCGGAAAAATCATGGAGCAGGTCCTCAAAGAATCAATCCTGAAACACTTACATGAGAGGAAAGTGATCAGGAACAGTCAGCATAGATTCACCAAGAGAAGGTCATGCCTGACTAATCTAATCGCCTTCTGTGATGAGATTACTGCTTCTGTGGATGAAGGGAAAGCAGTGGATGTATTGTTTCTTGACTTTAGCAAAGCTTTTGACATGGTCTCCCACAGTATTCTTGTCAGCAAGTTAAAGAAGTATGGGCTGGATGAATGCACTATAAGGTGGGTAGAAAGTTGGCTAGATTGTCGGGCTCAGCGGGTAGTGATCAATGGCTCCATGTCTAGTTGGCAGCCGGTGTCAAGTGGAGTGCCCCAGGGGTCAGTCCTGGGGCCGGTTTTGTTCAATATCTTCATAAATGATCTGGAGGATGGTGTGGATTGCACTCTCAGCAAATTTGCGGATGATACTAAACTGGGAGGAGTGGTAGATACGCTGGAGGGCAGGGATAGGATACAGAGGGACCTAGACAAATTGGAGGATTGGGCCAAAAGAAATCTGATGAGGTTCAATAAGGATAAGTGCAGGGTCCTGCACTTAGGACGGAAGAACCCAATGCACCGCTACAGACTAGGGACCGAATGGCTAGGCAGCAGTTCTGCGGAAAAGGACCTAAAAGTGGATGAGAAGCTGGATATGAGTCAGCAGTGTGCCCTTGTTGCCAAGAAGGCCAATGGCATTTTGGGATGTATAAGTAGGGGCATAGCGAGCAGATCGAGGGACGTGATCGTCCCCCTCTATTCGACATTGGTGAGGCCTCATCTGGAGTACTGTGTCCAGTTTTGGGCCCCACACTACAAGAAGGATGTGGATAAATTGGAGAGAGTCCAGCGAAGGGCAACAAAAATGATTAGGGGTCTAGAACACATGACTTATGAGGAGAGGCTGAGGGAACTGGGATTATTTAGTCTGCGGAAGAGAAGAATGAGGGGGGATTTGATAGCTGCTTTCAACTGCCTGAGAGGTGGTTCCAGAGAGGATGGTTCTAGACTATTCTCAGTGGTGGAAGAGGACAGGACAAGGAGTAATGGTCTCAAGTTGCAGTGGGGAAGGGATGATTTAATTGGGGATGGGTCCTGCTTTTGAGCAGGGGGTTGGACTAGATGACCTCCTGAGGTCCCTTCCAACCCTGATATTCTATGATTCTATGATTCTGTGTATTTTAAAAAGCAATTTAGCAGGAATGGCTTGTTAAGGCTGGTGAGGCTAATCCCCATCAATAGTAGGCAACCACATCATTGGCCTATATAACATCTATATCAGGGTGTCATGGCCTGCCTAATATATTTGTGACCCACATGACCTATTCGTGGACAATGTACATTTTCATTTTTTATGAAGTAAATTTCCAACCCATTTCGCTGCAGAGGGAAACGTCCAAATGTGAACAGGGTATAACTGACGTCATGGTGTCTGCAGACAGTCTGAAATAATGACTGGCTGGTGAACTCCCTGTCCCCTATTAATCTCATTGGTGTATCACCTCGAAAGCCTGATAATAATAAATTATCAACATTAACTATTCCGTTGTTGATGTTTTTAGCAAATCCAAAGTATATGAGTAGTAATAGTTTGTTCTGTTGGGAAGGAAATCCAGAGGGCGGATGCACAGCCAAAATAATGGGAGAAAAATGGAGAAGGAAGAGAAACAAAGGGCAGGAATGACAGAGTCCTAAAGGGGAGAATATTTTGCCATTGAGTGATACTGAATGTTACAAGAAGGTACTGAATCAATAATAAATAGGTAAAATTTTGTTTTATATATTTATTTTTATGTAATTTTATATTACATATTCTTTTGATCTCTGACATCAGTGTACTTTCCACTGAGGATCATGTGGAGTATGAAGTCTGGAATTTATATCTGAGGCTAACATGGAATTCAGTCATCTCCTCTGAATGGGCTTGACATCCCCGAGCATACTGTACTGCATGCAGGGTGTAGAGGAGTCTGATGCAGCTGAAGTTTCTTCAGCCCCGGAAACAGGCCCACTGACAGTGTGGGGGGCAAAGGGGACAATTGCCCAGGGGCCCAGGCAATTTAAAAGGGCCTGGGGGCCACCTCTGGCAGTGCAGAGGAGTTAAGGCAGGCTTCCTGCCCGTCCTCACTCCACGATGCTCCAGGAAGTGGCTGGAACAGCCCTATGGCCCCTGGAGGGGGGGGAGAGGGGGTCTCCACACTGTCCCACCCCCCAACACTGACTCTACAGCTCCCATTGACTGGGAACTGTGGCCAATGGGAGCTGCAGGGACAGAGCCTGTGGGCAGCAGCATGCAGAGACCCCCTGGGCCCCCACCTAGGAGCCACTGCCAGAGGGGTGTACCAGTGGCTTTCAGGAGCTGCCAGAGGTAAGCGCTGACCCCCTGGTCCCCTTCTGCACCCCAATCCCCTTCCCCAGCCTAGAACATTCACCCAAACTCCCTCCCAGAGCCCGCACTACTTCCTGCACCCCAACTCCCTGACCCAGCCTGGTGAAAGTGAGTGAGTGTGGGGGAGAGCGAGCGACAGAGGGAGGAGGAATGGAGTGAGCAGAGGGTGGGGTCTCGGAGAAGGGGCGAGACAGGGGTGTGGCCTCAGGGAAGGGGCGGGGCAAGCGTCTTTGGGTTTGTGCAGTTAGACATTTGGCAACCCTACCGGGCCAGTGTGTGGAAGCCCTGGCTATGCCAGAAAAGTGCACCCAGCACCACAGCCAACAGCTCACTGGGCACCAGCCCAAATGTCAGGCGGACCTCATCCGCGTGGGCGTGGCTTGTGCATGCGTGGGGGCCCATTGATGTTCTGCACTGGGGCCCAGAATTACTGTCGGTGGGCCTCCCTCCAGGAGTCTGTGCAGCACATGCAGAGGAGATTCCAAACTTCCACGGGGAAAAATCAGGTTAATCCTCAATTCAGAGAGCAAAATAGCAGCATCCTCCGTAGGAGGGACTCAGCAGGTCTAGAGCAGCACTCCAGTAGGCATTCCTCTCTGTCTTCTCTACCATTCCTTCGTGCTAGGCCTGGAAAAGAGGGTAAATGAAAGATTGGGTGATTGCCGGAAGGGAGTGAGTTGGAAGTGCCTGGCTGATTGCATGTTTTTGTATTTACATAAAGTAAGCTTTCTTTTTATCATTTAAAACAGACATGTTTATGAAGCTACCTATTTAGAATTATTCTAGGGATTATTATCATAAACCTTATCTGCTATTACGCTGCTGTGTTCTGTTTTGAAACTCCATGAAAGTCTTTATTTTAAACTTGCTCCTTTATTATGAATGCAGTTTCTTTGCTCACAAGAACAAGAGGGGTTCACATTTATGTTTTAACAGAATCAAACTCTGCAATTCCTTCTCCATACTATTTTCCCCTTATTTTTTAGATATTTCCTTTATTTTTGTATTTTTCGTTCTTTTAATCCCTAATAATGTTCTATAGGTGAGCTAAAGTACATAATGTATTGTTTACCTTTTCATTAACTTGAATATCAAAATATCTAAAACAAAACATCCTGTAGCTGTTTTCCTTTTCAGAATAGGTTTGTTTTCATTCGTAAAAAGCAATCTTTTTTTTTTTTTAAATTCATAGGGAATGATGAATATTAGTTTTGCATAGACATTTGTTGCTAATTCCTTCGACCTACTGAGATTTCATGATCTGTTACTAGCTCTTGTTGACAGGCATACATTTCTATTTGGAAAGAGTTTATGTATATTTCAAGTATTGACAGAAATTGCATACCATAAGTGTATAGAAAGTCACAAATTATAGTTCTATGATTTAGCTGTTTTGAGATTAGTCAACATTTTTATACCTGGTAGCCATTAGTATGGCAGATAAGAATATTAGATATTCAGTACATAAAGATTATTATTTATCTGTATTGTGATAGCACCTAGAGTCTCCAGGCCCCTAGTACT